AGCCACTCTGTGCCCTGCAGTGGGGGAAAGCGAACGGAAATCGGCCTCGGAGAGCCAGCGAGCCCGGGACAACCCCGCCAGCACCTTGTGCTGTAGCGAGGAGGCCATATGGGCTGGTTTAATCTCCTAATCCTATTTTTAGGGGTCGATTTGGGACGGGGAGGTAGGGAGGCAGGATGGCAGGTGCGACTGGGAGACTCGAGGGTAGGGGCTGGGCTCATCCTGCGGGCACCTCGTGGCTTCAAGGCTGCCAGGGCCAGCCAGGTGAGTACCCGGGGACGTTTCCTGCACCCGCGGCTTTTACGTGGCATTTCTTTACACAAAGAAAAGCAAATAAGCTCAAGCAGGGCGGCGCCGGGAGGGCAAACAGACACCGACAGGCAAACACGGGCTGGGAAACAAATCCAGAGCCTTGCAACTGGCTCCTGGCAGCAGGGACATCCCCCGAACCACACCAGGGGTTCACCTTGGGCTCCCTCCAAACCTCCTCCGCATCAGCCACCTGCACCCACGGGCCGTCCCACCACTGGCTTTGACCAAAAAGCCCCGAGAGGAGCCAAGGTGGCCGTTGTCACCGTCACACACCTGGCCCTGGCTCGGCATAGGGACAAGTGACCCCACGGACCCACTTTGTATCACCCACAAAACACTACGCTGGGCACACGAGACACAAAAAAAACCCCAAAACTCACCAATCCTAAATCTCTAAACCTCATTTTTGGGGCCATAAACCCCACGTTGAGGTTGAACCTGTTGAGCACCAGGTTGTTTTTTAAAAAAAAACAACTTCAAACCCTCCTGGCATGGCACAAATACCCAGCGAAACAAGCCGGGTCATCCATAAAACCAAAGACTCCGACAGCCCCGTACTGCCGGCGCTTTGAAGATGTGGCTTCAATATTTGGATCAGAAATGAGGCTGAACCACAGACCTGGCACCCCAGGGTGCTAAATCTCTGGAAAAAAAAATGGGGTGACACCACCCCAGGCCCCGCTTCGCCAATGCCACCTGCGCTGCGGCTTTCAAGTTGGGCCGTTTCATCCATTTTCATGCATTTTTGCTGCACGGGCCAGGCTGGCTGCAGGGGAGGATTTGGGAAGTGGATGCTCAGAGAGGAGGAGGAGGAGGAGGAGGAAGAGGAAGACTCATCCTGCCCACCCCAGCAGGATGAGGCTGCAGCTCAGCACCCTCCCCAGGCATCCGCTGTCCCCAGGGTAGCCCTGCCACCAGCACGAGTGTCACATCCCACAGTCTCTGCTGCCATCTAGTGAAAAAACTGCTCTGTCTCCTACACCTGGAGCATCCCCGGTCCCGAGGGTCCCCCAAAAGCCACCCTGGTCCCCCTGCCCCAGCCAGGGCTGCAGCCCCAGCCTCGTGACCCCCGCCAGCATGGCCAGGGTGACACACAGGGTGACAACGCAGCGTTCCCTGGTGTGGAGAAACAGCTCCAGGTCTGTTCCAAAGGGAGAACGAGGTGACACCACCTGTCCCCAAGCCCCACACGAGGACAGGGCTGTGCCCACGTAATCCACGTCCTGAGGATGTGGCCAGCGAAGGGGCACCGGGACAGCCCAGATTTTGGGGTACCCCGTTTCGGGGCTCGCAGCTCGGCACCGCCGCAAGGATGCTGGCAGCAGACAGGGGCGTGCTAGAAAATCCTGGTTTTATTTTCATTTAAAAGCCGTCGCGAGCCCGGAGCGAGCAGCGAGCTCTTCCCCAAAGGGTGAGGGATTTGGCCCCAACAGCACTTGTAGTTCCCAAAAAATAGGAAAGAAAACCGAAATAAATCACACAGGTACCACCTGCCGCCCCAGCGCGCTCTGGGAGGCGGCTGCGGGATAAATCCTGCGGGATAAATCCTGCGGCGCTCGGCTCCAGGCGGTGACGAGTTTAACAGGAACCAGAGCACAGACAGGTCACGATCCGAGACGTCCACCAGCGCCAGCTCCGGGCTCCTTCCGGGATATCTTAACGAGGCGAGCGGGGCTAACGAAGCCTTGGTCCAGCACCGTTCCCAGGTGCGGTCCCCAGCAAGGACGCCTGGTCCGGGGGGACCCTAAAGTGCTTTGCAGGGACACACACACACACATGCACACACACACACCCCGAGATGCCCCGGGAGAGAGGGGCTGGGGGCCAGCACAGAGCCCAGCGGAGACGGTGGGGGGCCCTGGGTTGTACCCCCACCCTTGGGTGCTGGGATAGATGACGCCCCACCGGGCTGGTGGCCCCTTTCTCCCCGGTGCC